TAACTACTTAAATACACACATGCTTTTATATAATATTCATTCACTCAAGGTCTCGGAGCCTTTTCCCTCACTCGTGGAAGGAATGGCAGGACTCTAGGAGATCCCAGAGCCTCTCACTCAGCTGCATCTCTGGTATTAAGGAGTACATAATTAAATAGACAAAGTTAGACGACCTCTAGATTGAAAACGCCCCAACATTTTTGTAGACCACCTTTTTTTTCTTTCGATTTTGTGATCAAACTATCTTACAACACAAGCAAATGGGTATATACGAGTTTGTGGTTCCCAATTAAATAAACAAAGTTTGCCGACCTCCAGATTGAAAATTCCCCAATTCCAAGAGTGTTCGTAAAAATAATAGTTGTACGTTACGATGAGATGAAACTATTCACTAAGTTTCAGGTGGATATTAATAATTTGATAAAAAAAAAACAATAAAAAAAAAAAATTTTTTACCACGGACTGTAAGCGTATAAGGACTGTAAGCCACATTTTTAAAATTATGATTGACCAGAAATTTCAAGACAGTCTCCGATTTATTTTTTCTAATACGCTTTTGCAGCGTAACTATCAATTCAAACATGGCCTTCTAATACTCTGCAGACAAAATGGTAGAAGATTCCATATACAAACACAGGATGAACTCCTCTGCCAAAATTCATAGGTTCTATAAGAGGTATGCAATAACTCCAATTATAATTGGATAATATAGGGATTTGATAATTATCAAACCTAGAGGGAAATTACCGATAAGAGGGGTGAATATTGGTGAATACTTATTATACTAGGGATGAATACTTATTGGTGAATAAAGTTCTTATATGACTTTGAAACAAAGCATTTTCAAGAAACCGTTATATTTTAATCATGCAGTTAAAACAACAATAAATTCCCCTTACTTTTCTGAATTTGTGTTTTTTCAATAATTTGTTCATTTCGATTCGAAATGGAACTGTCACCCATATTGTATATCGCTGCACACTTCATAAAAAACTTTCAGTTTATTTTTAAAACCATGTCCCTCTACTTCCATTCCTATTTTAGTACGAAACTGAATTTATACGGCCGACATTTATTTACGAGCTAAGTTGCGCAGAGTTACCGTTTTATTTTGAATGTTGTAAAAGCCATGACCATTATTTCTCAGCTTGCGGCGTTGGCTTATTCAGGGCCGTCCTAGCTACCATTACAGAGGGATTTATTTTGGATCATTCCAAATATTATTGACAACGTCGGTATGTTGTTCTAGCAGCCGCCACTGCTCCCTTACAAAATATCATGCGAATTTTTAAATATTCTTTCTAGCGCCATTGTTCTTGTACCTAAGCCGTAATGTGTTTCTTAGTGGATTATTATTATTAATTGTCAATACTTAACTAAAAATTTTCTTGAGTTCAAATAGCCAAGTCTCGTAGATTACTCCGTGTCATTATTGTCCAACTTCATATCATCGAATTTACACTTTTACGATTTCCTCCTAAGTAGATCAAAGTGGCTCGCTTAAACTATGTATCAATGTACAATTAAATGGCGTTCAATATCAGCTTATTCTTTTCCTTGTCGAAATAGCCTGAAAGGACTTAAACGTCGAATTTTCAATTTCCTTTGACTTTATTTATTTAAAAAAATTATATATATATCTAGTTGTTGGCAATTATTAAAAATGCCTAAATATAAATTATAAACAAAAAAAATTATGCAATTCAATAATTTCAACCCTGTATAAAAATAAATTTTCGGAAAGTTAGAGAGCTAAAACATTCGAAAAATGAATATCTAACATTTAAAACCGTAGGAAGTAGTGACGAAAAACTTATGAATTATGATTTCTGAAACTAACATTATTTAACTTGTATTCTTTCGATTTGGAATTTGAGTTCTAACGGATGGTGAAGTACCAATAAAGAACTGCTTACTGAAACTCTCATAATGTTTACATTACTGACTTTAGGCAGGGAGGTTAAAATAAGAGGAAACATGTTGCTCAAAGCATTCCATACACAACGATGGATGTCTCAATATTAGGTAGAGACCAGATGAATGGCCAAAAACAGATCGAATTAAAAAATTTGATGCAGAGTTACATGCTGTAAAATGGAAAGAAATAGCTTAAGACTGGCAGAGCTGGAGAGGTGGCTAGTTCAGGCAGCCGAAGATCTACGAGGTCTGTAAATGCAAAAAAATAAATAAATAAAATAAAAAATAATAAAATTTCTTAACTTATTGGAAACTTTTACATCACTTCGAAGCTTGACAAATTAAAAATACTTCTTGGCCCATGTGGATAATTCGCAGGATATATTGTTTAGTGAAGGAAACACGAAATGATTGAAATTGACAAATTAAAAATACTTCTTGGCCCATGTGGATAATTCGCAGGATATATTGTTTAGTGAAGGAAACACGAAATGATATGGAAATAAGTAGATCCTATTTATTATGTAAGGGAGGAATTAATTGTGTTTTCCTTGGTTGGTTATAATACTTCATTTAACATAATAGACTAAAATATTTGTAAAAATTACTTTTCTAGGGCCTATTTTAAACGCTGATAGGAAAGGTAATATTCAAAATAAGATTTTCTAAATTATTAAAAAAAAAAAAATGTCTTAACAGATAATTAAGTATATGTCAGCTGGGGAAGAAACGGAAGTAGAATAGTTAATGCAGTATAATAATAAATTATTATGTATACCACATCTAATGGACTGCATCTCGGTAATAGTCCGATTTCAACGACTTTTGTTTTTATTTTGTGGGTAATTTAGTAATTTTTGAGTCATTCCCTAATAAAAAATTTGTCCCTGGAATTTTGTTGGGAATGACTATTTTTTTCTCACCTGAAGGAGAAGATCTTCAAAATTGGGGCTCAATCATGGGATTAGATAAAGAATTGACGAATAAATGGTCTTGTGACAAAAAACACTTTGTGGAAATAGTATATAAATATGCCAAAACTCAGGCCATTGTCATTGCTTCGAAGCCCCTTCTTAGATCCCATACCGACTTTCCCATCCTTCACCTTAATGACCAGCCAATCTCCTTCTACTCCTCTGTTAAAAATTTTGGATTTTTCATTGATCAAAACCTCTTTTGGAATCACCATATCTCCGCTTCAGCCATCTCCTATAGCTGATGACTATAGCTGTGTGGTGTATGATGGCCTCTCTGTGGAGCTCCGCGATAGACTGAAAAGACTAATGAACAGCTGTGTAAGATTTGTGATCGCGGCCGCAAGATACTCCCATGTCTCTCACCACTACACTGAGTCAAAGTGGCTTTTCCCCTCCTTCCGAAGACAATATTTCCTAGGTACGTTCCTCTACCAAATCATCAACAACATCGTCCTTCTTACGCCTACAACCTTCTCAGTTCAAATCCTCAGTTCATTCCCTATCCACAAGATCTCGACCTTCTAACCTTTACATGCCTTCTCACAGATCTGCTTCATTCCAAAACTCCTTTATTGCTCGCTCTGTCATTTTCTGAAATTCCATCCATATCCACATTCAATACCCTCCTATTCCAATTCCTATTCCAAAAACAGTCAGATATTTACTAACCATTCGACAACATACATTTATTTCATGCCATTCATTGTCAAATATCAAGGCTAAATGATAATGCATTTGTATATTAATGAGGCACTTAATATTGTCAAATTCAGCTTTCTGTTTTCTCAACAGAAACACAAAGCTGATTTTAATGAAGAATTTAATATATTTTTATTTTTTAATTCTTTATTGTTTTCTTAAAAGTGTATACTGGTCTATCAGTGCAAATAGCTTTAAGTATCTTGTCATAGTGTTAATTGTTTTGTATATAGTTTCGTTTGTTTTGTATATAGAATGTTTACCTTATATTTTCTTTACATTATTTCTTTTTTTCGATTGATTTTATTTTGGCCAGATGTAATCTTTTAATTTTGTTCTATTTTGTTATTCTCAAGGAACTGTGTCCCAGAATAAAGTTATTTTCTATCTATCTATCTATCTATATAAAGATATAGTGGATCGAATCTATGAAAAATTATTTTATCATACTTTTGTCGGAGAGGGCTTGAAGAACTGTATGCCGCCGAATATATTTCTAGTAGTGTTTGCAGAAAAATATGTGGTAATAACCTTCAATAGCTTTAGTGCCGATTAAATCTTTAAATATTATTTAAGCATTCATATTTTAACAGAGATTTAATTATTTAAGTTGGGAGGTTTGGGGAAGTTGTCATGCTCTGTAATTAAATAATTGCAGAATTCAAATATAAGTTCAAAATATTGATAAAATAATTATGAAAACGTTATTTGGTAGCTTTAGTTTCTGTTGAAGCTAGTCAATAATTTAAATTATTATGGCGTTTAATTATGGTTCAATACCTTTTAACGCTTACATCATGACAGGTCATTCGTCAGACTTCTCGCTTTCATGATCGCCAATGGCGGTTTATTAATATTTATTTCAGTATCCAACAGAGTTATCCGAATAATGATCCTTCCGAAAACAACTGGAAGCCTCTTTTCCGGAAATTTGACTTTCTAGAAGTTAGCAGGAGGAAAAGGAGAGTTTTCATTTGCAGTTTCCTTCTTTTGCTTTTCTTTTTCCTTTTGTTTTTTTTCTGAGAAATAGGCAGGAAAACAGAACCCTTCGCCTTCAGGAGATATTCATTATCATACTCCTTGAGGGCGGAGGAAGTCTATTTCTATCAGACTTTAAAGAGCGTTTGTTTTATGGTTCACGACTGCCTTGGTTGGGAAGTATTAGATTAGCATGAATATTATCCCTGCCGTTTGGGGATATCAGCCTTAGCAATTCCAATTCCAGTTTAAAGGTTTATGAATTATGTTTGACTTAAAGAGTTTTAATGGCGGCTTTCCCGCCGAAAGGTCGGTAGCCGATTGTATTATATTCAAATCGGAAATTGGCCCTGCGATGACTGTATTTTTGATCTTATCTCGATCATGAACCCATTTCTGTTATCTTACTTAATTTTATTGTCGCTTTAAATGGGATCGTCTAACGGAAGGTCTGCAATTCCATTATAATCGTTGGTATATATTTCGTAATCGTTTCTGTGTTCAGAATAATTAAACTTTATTCTAAGAATTTCATTGAATTCAATTATATCGATTTTACTTCAAATAATTGTTGATTATTTATTCAATGGCCCACATCTTAGATCATCTTCAGAGGGAAATAGGCCATGAGCCAGACCAATTAATGAACAGTTAAATTGATTATGCTCTTCTATGTCAGTGTGGGTTACTTTGCACATTTCAAGACTTTTTGTAATAATATGTGTTTTTTACCTTTACTCACTTATTGTAAACAGATAAGTCTGAAGCTCAGCTTCCTTAAGGTTTATGGATGTAAGATGAAGCCTCTCGGTAACACAGTTTTATTTTATTTTTGTTTTAATGCAGGCAGCTAAGTTTCAGGATCGGTTGGAAAAATGTGCACTACTGTCTAAAACTCATTAAGAATCCTGAAAATAAAAAATGGAGTGTTATAGAACTGTCTTCATCAAAGATTACCACTAACCATAGGATCCATAAATTAAATGTTATTAAATTAAATTTTCATTTATAGTCCGTTATTATAAATGAGGAAAGGACGAAGTTGAACTGTGATAATAGTCATCTCATCGTAACCTATAACTGTTATGTACTGTAAACTCGTGCATAACCATTTGCTTTCCCCTTGAACCGTAAGATAATTTGATACTAAAATCGGGAAAAAGGTTTGGCCTGTACAACCTCGTTATTTGGCATTTTGGTGATGTAGGTCACGCCAAACGGCAATATTTTTAAAGGCCACCTTTTTTTTCTCTTCGAGTTTGTGCCCAAACTATCTCACGATTGAAGAGGAAAGGAAATAAGTATTTACGAGTTTTTAGTACCTAATTAAATAAAAAGGGTTTGACGATCTCCAGATTGAAAAATGTCTCAATTCCGAGAATTTTGTAAATAAAATATTTGTAGGTTACGATGAGATGAAGTTATTTACGAAGTTTCAGGCGGATGTTAATAATGCGATAAAGAGGGGTTTGTACCAGGGATTATTTATTAGCAAGGTTCAACTTTACTTCGTCCATTCCTGATTTATAATTCCATGTTGGCTGAAATTAGGAGGCATAGTCTTGACTGCAACAATACTGTTACTGGTACTGATGGAGGTAGCCAGTCCGGCGAGTGGACCTTGTTCTTTTTGGCGACATGTCGTCGTCTACTTACCAGAGTGAAAGTGTCGAGATTTATTTCCCGCGATCGCAGAGGAATATTAACCGAACTAGTTGGGTATCGAACCCACAAGTTTACAACCGGCTACTGAGATATCCACGCCCTAACTTACCATGATGATGTGTTGATGTCTCCATCAAAGATAACCTCTAAACTTAAGAATTGCTATTTTTTTTTTTTTTTTTTTTTTTTGCTTCCTCACTACCGAAGGTAGGGAAGCATTGTGTTCGTGCGAGAGATTAAAAAAATTGCTCAGAATCGAAAATTTTCACTCGGGTTTTACGTTTCAGGCATCAAGGATCAAATTTGGTTCGGTGTCTGTCTGTCTGTCTGTTTTTAAATATTCTTGTAGGTAGATTTTTTTTTAATCATATTTTCAAGTTTATTAAATATTTAAATAAAAATAGGAAAAAATATATTTATAAGGCGTGATATATTTTTTATTTTTCTAATAACCTGGGTTGCCAACTTAAGTTAAATTTTAATATTTGTTTGAAGTAATATAATGCTATCTGTTCTTTTTACTTTGTTTTAATGTTTTTTTCTTCGATTCCTGTCAACTTTCTTTGACGTGCGTAAAAAGTTTCAAGCCTAAGTTAAACATCAGTCCTAGACCCCATTTGGGTACTGTAGGATTCTCTTTTAGCTGTACCTATCAGTATTCATGTTGGGATAGACCTCCGTATCAGCGAGATGAAAACCCAAGGCACCAAATGGCTCCTCTACCCCTTTGCTTCGAAATTATGGAATCGTGGACGGATGCCTCGTTCATGAAATATTGATATTGAAAGGTTTATATACAGGGGTGTTAGGAATGAATATTGAGGATTTCATAAATATACAAATAACATCTGCCAAGCTTGGTCAGTATAGATAGCTTCTTCACCGTTTCCTTTCAGTGCGTAATCGTCTATTCTTCAAGGTCAGTGACTTGTCGTTTGAGAATACTATCAATGGCCGTTTCTTAAATATAGTTTTGTCTAGGAAAATAAATTTGCACATACATAACCAACATTAGTTATTTCAGGAATGTTTCGTATTGTGTTTCTCACGAAATGGGTTGTATATATATTTGTAGGCCATATTACAGATAGACGGAGTTCATTTTATCTCAGTTATAGTAAAGTTTCATATTAGAGTCGGGTGTTATTAAATAATGATTTCATATCGAAGTTTAAATATTCATCCCTGGTACGAATTGGTATCGTGAAGGCCATTGTTATGAATTTTCCATATCTCCGCTTTGAAGTCCTCCCGTTCTATTTCATCTCTGAACTTTCGTTTAATTATTAATATTCCCATTTTGCTTTCCTAAAAACAAACAAAACACGGCAGAGGAGTGGGATGAATACGACCAGCGTCTGAAATTGAGTTTACTCAGTGAGAGAGAGAGGGAGACTACTACGGCAGAAATGATATTTTATAATTGGAGGGATGGTGGTTTCGTTTCGTTTAAACTTATTTAAATGAAGTAAAGTTAATTTAAACCCAACAGTTTATTACTTACCATTTTTTTTACTCTTTTTTTTTTTATATAAATTTGTTCGTATATTATTAACTTGTCATGTATATCTGTGGTTATAGCGCCTCTGTTCAGCCTCCAGTGGCCCTTTATACCATTAATGCGGCTGAGTGAGGAGCGCTGAGATCTCGAGTCCTGCCTTTCCTTCCAAGTGGGGGAAATGCTTGGCTCGGAGTTCTCCTGAGTTAATGAAGTTTGTAAATATTGTATAAAAGTACGTGTGTATTGAAGTTGTTATTTTAAATAGTTTAGCTTTAATTTCTTTTAAAAATGTAAATTAATTTCTTTAGAAAAAAAAAAGTCTGATGAGATTTTTGTTGCTGAGATCCTGAGTGCTAACGAACTCTCCCTTTCCACCCTCCACTCTGAGAACTAATGCTGATTTACGCTCGAAGTATTTTAAGTCGAAATATTATAAAAACCACTTTTCTTAGTTTTATCAGGATTGACCTAGCAGTACCAAAGTAACTTAGAACTTACTCCCTCCTCCTCTGGCTGAAGCATATTGTTACACGTCATGCGGCACAGGGAAGTTTCGTGATTGGGGAGTCTATCCATCCATGGTCGAAGACGCTTGATCTCCTTCCTCCTCCCTAGTATTATTGCTATATATATCTTCTTAAAAATGGTGCTAATGAAAATATATATATATGATAAATTATAAATTGTTCTCAATCATTCTTCCTTTATTGAGTCTATTCAATGTTTTTCTTAGTTGCCTGGTTGGCTGCAAAATATCCGAGCTTAGATATATTAAGCCCCCTGTGTAAGTCACATGTTGCAACCGGCGTTCTCAAACGTGACACGATCATGTCATCTCTTATATTAATTTAACTTGCTTAACAACTATATTTCGATAAATAAAAAATACATCTAGCTATAAGACCTTCATATAAACAGGCTTAACCATACTGTAACTGTTTTAAATCATTTTTCATGTTATTTTCTTGATATTTTTTTTCTTCTAGTATTTTAAACATTAATCATTTTACTTCTAAGTCTTTTAGTCTTTAATGAAAACTAATTAATACATGCCTGTTTCATTATTCGAGTCTGAGACATAAAAAAAATCCAAATATACGAACTTAATGAAATTGTGGTTTTGATTTTGAGGCATGACCAGTAGTTAGGAAACACATCTAGCGCCTACTAAAATTATATTTAAAATTTAATTTCGTATAATAAAATAGAAATAGGACACTTTTTTTGAAATGGAATGAAAATATTTTTGCTTATGGTCATTCCAATAAAATCTTGTTGAAAGTTTATATTAATTTTTTTTCTGAATTATTTTTATCTATTTATTTATTATTTTAATTTTTTTCGCAGTTAAAATTTCCCAACTGTCATCTCTACCTGATTTCTCTCGACTATTTAGATGGAATCCTCGCTCAAGGTCGAAGCTGTACAAAGGATAGACAATTCTCTAATTACGGGACAGGAGTAATCTGTTTGAAGAATTAGTTTCATAATTGAATTAGTAATAGAAATTATGAATGAGAACAATTCCAATTAATGGACAAAGGATTCATTTATTCCAAAGAACCATCTTCTAACTGTCTATCTCGTTAGTGTACTTAAGCAAAAGATATCAGCTTCCTCCTTCGGAAAGAACATAGCAATTACATCTTGACCAGTTACTGACGGTCGAGTTGAGCAAGAGTGGTATAGTTTGAATGCTATCAATGTCTAGATGTTTAAGTTAAAGCAGGGCCATATTTATTTTTTTTTCCTTTTTGGTTACGAGGGTTTTTAATAAATATTTATTCTTTTTTTCTTATTTAGTTTATATGTGTTTATTACCTTATACCTAATTTAGGTTATTCTGTTTCAGAGCTGTCGCCGCTTACCTCAGAGCACTCAACCTCAGCCCTAACAATGCTGTCGTCCACGGCAACCTGGCATGCGTCTATTATGAACAAGGGTAAGCTAATGGTCTCCGTTATTAATTGTTTAAATTAAATTATTAATATATATATTTCAGGCAATACTATTAAAACATTTAGTGTGTTATTTGATTTTTTGTTTAAAAAAAAAAATACTAAAATTCAACAGCATTTTATTTTGAAGACATCGAAATTCTATCGTCCAATTGATCGCCTTGACTCCTCCACAGTTTTATTCTATTCCCGTTCTTTCACATTTTTTAATAACGGAATATTAATTTACTCAGGATTCTTTAATTTGAAAATAATGAATAAGACTTTGTTCTTTTACTTTTTTTCATTATGAATGTTGTTTGTAATTGTTGTATTTAATTTGCTAATTAAACTTTATGAATCTCTTTTTTCTTTCCAAAATGAACCCTCCTAAAAGTCATTAAAGAATTTTCAGCCACGCTATGAACTATATTTTTCATTCCAATTGTAATGTGAAAAACATAGTTATAATAAAAAATTATAAGAAATGCAAGTATCATTGAATGTTACATTAAATTAAAAAGTAATCAATACATCATTACATTCCCTAAAAAATTGAAATTAACCTATTTCAACGTCACCTTTCCTGTCTTTGATATTCAGTTTTCGTTCATTGGGTGATTTTACAAGGAATCAGAACGTATCCCGAAATTTAAAAAAAAAAAAAAAATATTTAAAAAATTATGAAATCGATTAGGATTTACTTTGGATATTAACGATTTTATATTAATTAATAATTTCGAGGAAATAACACTATTGAACCCTTTTACCTCCTCTCCAAGATTCAATTCATTTTTTTTTCTACTTTTCAGGCAATTTTGCCCATTTTCAAGTCGAAATATTTAGCTTTAATATTACAATACATTAATCACAAATATATAGATAGATAGAGAGATAGAAAGTAAACTTTATTCTGGGACGAGGTCCCTTATGAATAACAGATATGAACAAGAAAATAAAAACTACATCTGGCCAAAAATTACATTAGTCAATATTAAAGAATGTATAGTATCTTCATTAAAATAATATTAAAAAAAGTAAAAATAGCACCATTTTGAAAAAACAAAAACATTATTTAAATGAAAAGAGAACAAAATAAAATAAACAGGGTTGATTTTTAAAATTAAACTCTATTAATTCTAACAACCATTCACCTCAGTCAAAATCTGTTTCGCAATATTTATTTCATTGTATAACTTCATTTTGGGATGTGAGAAGGAATTGGTAGAGATGATATTTAAATGAGGACAAGGAAGAGGCATGGCGGATTTCAGAAGGCAAGGAATTCCAGAAGGCAGTGGATCGGGCAATAAAGGAATATTCAAACGTCTTAGTTCTATGGGAAGTGATATAAAGGTCGGAAACACGGGTTTTATATATTTTATGTATATGTAAAAATTTAACAGCACATACAATAACAATCTGTAATATTTCAAAAAGTCAACTTAACGAATAAAATCTCTACTTACATCATTGTCTTATCCTCTATGCAATATTAATTTTTATAAAATCTTTCTTCAATATTATCCTCACATTCTTCTAATATTAATTCCATAACTATTTATGAAAAGTCAGTTCTAAAATTGAAATAAAAATACTGAAATTCACAATATATCTCAAATAAGAAATTGTAATATGAAAATAATATATTTACATCTAAATGCGATTTGAACAATAAAAAGTTCGACAATTTATGTATTATCCTTGTACGAAAATAAATAAAAATGGGCAGTATTTCTACAACGTATCTCTTCTTGTTTTTATATACTTTATAAAAACAAACGGTAGTACAAAGAAAATTGGAAAACCTCATTCATTTAGCAAAGGGTTCTCATTGTTATTTGGCCTACTGCCCTTTTTGCTGTTAAAACAAATCCCTATCCCCACTTCGGTAAATCTAGTCCCTGAACAAACAGGCAGTTCGATTAAATTATATGATAATTTTATGTACTGTTCTTATCCGGATAGTTCCATAGACGAGCAGTGGATTGTATTAAGTCTTTATTCAAATTAATTAAAAACTGGCTATGTTTAATTAGTGACTACTAATGTTGTATAAATTGATGGAATATTTAATCCTTCGCTCTTGCAAACTTATCTTAAGAACGATATCGGACCATGAATGCGGGCACCCGTATCCTCCAGTGTCTTGGGAGTTTCAAAATTATTTTTTTTCTTTTACCATTATATTGAAAGTTTTCACTTAGTTAACACATAGTTAACTTCACTCATCGCTATCTTTGTATCGTGCGTGGGTTTGTTTCTGAATGTGAATTCCGGGAAGAAAGTCGAAATTCGATTCGTGATGTTTATCGAAATGTTTCAAATCCTGAACGACCTCAGCATCACGATGCCTTTGGCTTATACCCGAAGTGGATGTGTGACGTAGTTGTCACGAGATAACAACTGTTGAGCAGCTCTTCGCGATCAAATAGCACTTTGGCAAATCGCTCTAAGATCATTTCGGGCCTTTTCCAAAAACATTTTTTTTTTCCATCGTCGCGATTTCTGCTAACAATTATCAATATATTTTTTCATGAACATTTTGTTGCGGGAAGGCACCAACTAAAGTCATAATCAAGTTCCAAATCAAAAAATAATAAACCAAAAAATGTAAAAGATTGCCTTGTTTTTCATGTTGTTGGTCGTTTGCAATATCTCAATTCTTTTTTGCTTCCTCACTAGCGAAGGTAGGAAAACATTTTATTCGGGCGAAAGGTTAAAAAAAAAATTTGTTCTCAGAATCAAAAATTTCCACATCGCGTTTATGTTTTGGACATCAAGGATCAAATTTGGTTCGATGTCTGCCTGTATTCAAATCGATGTGATGGGTTTATCATCTATCACAGTTCATCCGATTTCCATGGAATTTTATGAATTGTGCAAATTGGTGCCTAGATGTCCCCATATCAATTTTATCAAATTGTGTCCAGCACTTCCGCTTGTGCACACGTAATTTGTTTTCATAGATATGCCAATATTTCATAAACGACTGGTCCGATTTGGCTCAAAGTTGAAAGAAAGGTGGGATTTTGTAAAATAAAGATTCTGTATAGATTTTATTGAATTCCGCCATCTACTTTCTGAAATATGGTGTACGCGTTTTCCTTAATAATTCTAAATCTCTGAAATGGCTAATTCGGTTTGGTTCAAATTTGGAGGGATGTTATGGATTGGTTAACTGATAATTAAGTATCAATTTTATCAAATTCTATCTTCTACTCTCTCAAAAAGACTTCCACTTCCGCATCAGTAAACATATTATTTGATAAGCCTATTGTTTGAAAACAGCTCGTTCCGATTTGATCGAAACTTGATCGAAACGAGTTACCAATATCATTTAATAATTAAAATTAATATAAATAACTATTAATAAGACAATGATCACATGGAATAGGGGTTAGGTTAGTACAGTATTTTTATGAGGTTACAACAATTTAGGTTTTATTTAAAAAGTTAATTTATGCTGTATTGTTTGGTCGATTCCAAACGTTACTGGCATTACACTTACTGCCTTCACCTAGAGCTCATGTAATTTTAATTAATTTTTACTTAATTTAGTCAATAAACAGAAAAAGTTGTATTAGTGATTTTGTTTGCTCCTATTGAAATGCAACCGGCTCGTTGTGGTCTTGATTTCCTCCATCATCAAAGTTGTGTGAACTTCAATCATATTTTTATATTCTAGTTTAAATTAGTTTTGTTCTGACTGAGAGAAAATATTGGTCTCGTTAACTCCGAACGAACAAAAAATTGAATTTTCCAATGGATTTCTTCCATTCGCTTTACTAGTGAAAACATATATACGTATAAGCATACATCGCTACTGTTAGTGTAAAAGGTTGTAACACTTTTCCATTTTTATTCTATCGGTGCAAAATATGACATTTCGTAGTATGCAACTGATATAGGTAGCCTGGTACTTTGGAAAATAGCAGAGGGAAATAAAATATGAAATTACACCAATAAATCATAAAGAAATAATTAGTTTTTATGCTTTCCCGTAAAACACTCAATTTCCACATACGATTTTTTGCACTAACAGCTACAGTTTTCATCTTCATTATGTGCTGGAATTCTTTTTTTTTTTTTTTTTTTAATCAAATTCGCGATTTGCATATGTAGAATTCTTCCGTGTTTTTATGTTCTCAGATGAACAAAAATGGTGTATATCTAACCCGCGAATGTTAAGAAATTACTGTATTTCCGAAAATGGCTTCTCCCAGAGATTTTATTCTCCTACGAAAAATTATAGACTTTGAAATATAGACATTGTTCAGCCAATGAAAATGGTGATGAAGTGAAAAAAGTCTTTCCAATGTAGGTTAGAGGCGAAGTCCATTATATATGAATATCTCGACAATATCAAAAGCAACTTTTGTATTTTTTATTTACCATTTATGATCTGTTTTGGTTCTAGATATTACTCTCTTAAGTTCATTCAGAAAATGTTGTTACAGACAAAATATTTTTTAACAAAGTAACTTCTATCCACTCTTTGATATAAAAAGTATCATGTTTTTTTGGATGAAATAAAATTATCTGGAATTTTTATTGGATTAGCCGACGTTTTGACCTAAACATATGGGTCATCCTATCCTGGCTATTGTTTGGCAGTCCAGACAAGAACTCATCATGTTTTTATAGTTAGAGATTAGAATGGTATCCTTCCAGTTGGTCAAGCTAGTGAAGCAAGTTCCTTCAATATTGCAGATTTCGTCATTTATACCCTCTTAAACATAAAATTACATTACTCCATCACCGTGAATTTCATTTACAGTTAAATGTCAAATTACCACTCACTCTGCCATTTATCTTCCCAGTTTATCCTTCATCGCTTTGAAATACCAGTGACTCATGATGACAACTTGATCATTCTATTTCAGTGTGTTGCTGACAAGATAGGATTGAGAATTGGTTGCTGGCACTAGCAAGTTAAAACACTAACTTGGCTTGGGTACAGGTAGATGTGATTGACTCAGTGATTTGAGCAAGTTTTAATCACAATTAGGGAAACTCCTTAGGGACTTGTAACTCAGTTAGGAAATCCCTTGCCTTATCTAATTTTGTTATTCTCTGTCTGGTTTAAAATTACTAGTTGACGCCAGCAGTGTTGGGACTGTTTTAGTTCAAACTTTTGCTTTGTATATGTTTCCTTAATGCATTTCTTAATTTTCATTGTCCTCTCTTCCTTCACACTTTGTTTTGATAGTTTCCATATGTTTATTTTATTACTGGTCATTTAATACGTATTAAACACCTCTTTCATAACTAAATCTTTGATTTATCATTTAGGTGAATGCCAATTTGAATTATATTTTGAAGCATTATATCAATCTATTTCATCTTTTCTACCAAATTTACTTTACATTTATGTGGTAAAGTTATATAGTTATTATTATAACATTGTATTATTATTTACCTCTTTTTAAAATCAGTTATACATTTTTGTTTGGATGTATGAAAATAGTTTTATAAATTTAATTTAAATCTTTTGTTGGCGAATATTACATTATATCATCGGTTTATTGCAAAAAGTCCCTATGTGAATTTTTGATATGTGTAGGTTAACTTTCATATATGGTTTAGTAAGTGTCGACCTTATTTATTTATTAAAAAAAACACCACAAGTGCATGAAAATACTACATACCCTTTTATTTATCATATATAGTTACACTAAGTGCCAATCTTCTGGTTTTACAACGGGGAAATTCATCAAAATTCTTAATTATTTGAGGTTATGAAATGTCACTTGATTAATTAATTTTGCACTAAACCGAGGATATTAATATCTAATATTACCACTCTCTTAAATAATTGGATTTTTTTGTTTTTATCTAAGATAAGCTGTACTTTATTTCCATTTTATGCCCTTTATTACGCTTTCATAAGAAATTATTCCACTATCTTGTATCTCAATAGAGTTTGTTTCACTAAATTAAGAGATCCTTCAACAATATAAGATCCTTAAAAGGGAATAATTAAATAGATTTTTTTTAGCTGTAAGAGACAAAAAACATTAATGAATATAGTCTTATCTTAATCTTAAATCTTCAACTTAAGATTAAGTTCAAATAAAAACAACTATATACTGTCTCCCGTTGTTTCTTGTTTCTCTATGAAGAAATTTGTTGCATTATTTTTAAAAGTTTTTCTAATAAGGTATATATTTGTCTTTTATTTGAAATTAAAGTTATTATTTATTTTCTCGATGCAGCTGTTGTTCTATCTAAAAACAATATCAGCTCTGAAAATAATTAATGAAATCGTACTTAATTTGAGATCATTTATTTAAGAACCGCATTAGTAAAAAAATGTTGGAAGTTTTCTTAAATGTTTCTAAAAACTTTTATTTTTTAAACATTTCAAAAATTGAATAGCCAACAATTGTTAATAGTATTAGAAAGAAGATTTTTTGGCTTAATTGCTTTGTTTTAAAATATAGGATTAAAAGCTACAACTTCCTGATTTATTTCTCAATGTGAAGACATTATTTTTTGGGGAGGGGGATGAGGTGGGAAGTTGAGGGGACTTCAGAAAATATATCGTAATAATATTTTGGTCTCTTTTCTGATAAAATCTTCTAATTTTCAACCAAAAAAGAATTAGTATTTACAAGTACTTTTTTGAAACCACTACTCCTAATAATTGAAAGGCTAAAAATAAAAATAAACTCACAAGTCTACTTCCGTTTCTTACTAAAATTGTAGATTAAAATAAATTCTTACTATATTGCTTAGTTGTTGCGGATGATATTAGGTTGCTTTAATTTTTTATTTAATTTAAGGTGATATTTATTCACCATCATTACTTACAAAAGAGTTGACATAAGGAAATGTTTTATAGCCTCATCGACCTGGCAATTGACACATACCGGCGAGCTATTGAACTACAGCCAAACTTTCCAGATGCCTATTGTAACCTTGCTAATGCTCTTAAGGAAAAAGGACAGGTAAGCCATTTATATATATATATATTTTTTTTTTTTTCTTGTTTTTTCCAATATTTATACAAAATTATTTTTACTGAAACCAACTTAATTTGATTTCTTAAGGGGGAGGGAGTTCAGTTGTATTAAAATATATAGTGTTTAACCTTCAGGAGCAAAAGTATTTTTATATGTGTGGGTTTATTTATATACACGAGGCCAAGGATTTGTGAGAAAAATATCTAATATTATTTCTTTTAACTTTTTTTTACAATTTCTAATTTTTTTATTACTTTTTTTGTTTTAAATCTTCACTTTGGACATAAATCTAAGAATTTTTTTATTTTTCATGTTATCAATGAAATTGATTCCTTCATTATGATTCATAGAGTAATGTGAATTTATCATTAATTCCATTTCAAATATGTGTATATTTATGTACATAGAACGCAATTAAATTCTATTAGTAATGGATGTGATTTAAATAAGATTAATTAAATATATATTTTTAGCTGGTTATGGAAATTTAAGGTTTCGTTAATGTGTTATAGTACTATAAATGGTTTTTAATGATGTCACTTCATTAATAGTTTTTTTTTAATATTTTAAAATATGCTAGGCAATGTGTTAGTTAATAAAAAAGTACTAATTATGCTAATTGTTAGTATGAGTCTTGGACAGACATAATGTTTGAGAATATATACTTTTCTTTTTTAATTTTTATTTTTCCTAATGATTTCAATTATCTTATCTTAAAAAATGTCTAAATATTAAAGGTAGCAGAAGCTGAAGAATGTTACAATACTGCTCTTCGGCTATGCCCATCCCATGCAGATTCGCTCAACAACCTTGCCAACATCAAGAGAGAGCAAGGGTACATAGAGGAGTCTACAAGATTGTACTTAAAAGCATTGGAGGTAATTTAAGCTTTTTTTTAAATATCTAAATCTAAATAAATTATCAGTTATTCTATCTCTGATTTTATATATATCTGCAATATGTATTAAAAAAAAGAAATCAAATACTTAATGAGGGCAAATTCAAAATATTTTTTATTTTCTATTAACACTCTTAGCTGCGAGTGGGGTGAATCCTCACCCTATTGTCTTTTTATTTCTTATCTCTGCAATTGTTATCATCATCTGTGGAAAATATATATTTCAGAAAAAACCATTAATTTGTATATTATTTAGTTATACAAAGATTAAGTAAGGTTGGCAACAACTTGTTTTGACCAGACTTGATTCTTGACCTAAGTATGTTTAGCATATTTCTATGTAAATAGTGTCCGAATTTATTTTTAAAAAATAATCTAAAATCTATATTTATTAGATGACTCTTTTTAACTACTTTTATTTGTTTTGTCACTTTACAACATTTTTAGAATAAAATGATGATTAAGAAGTTGGTTATCATGAGCATGTAATGGATTACAAGAAGTTTTTACAGAGCTGTTGGTTGTGCTAGTTTTATCATTTACATATTTCGTTTTAATTTATATCGTTTTAAATTAAACAGGATAGCCCAGAAAGAGGTGTTACTTCTTTTCCCTGTCTGGTGAGCTTGAAGTGAGTCATTGGCAATTAAAAAATACTTCTTCCTGATCTTTTTTATTAATTACTGTTGCTTTTTTATGGCTTTTGAATTTTTTTTATTATCTCTATCCAGAATTGGATAATGTCTCAGACGAAAATAAAACACAAGCGTATTTTTCTAATAGAACTAGAAATATTTTCCATAATTATAGATGCACAATTAAACACGATATTAATTAAATGAAAATGTTCTGTTATCTAAGACGTTCTTTAAAGTTAAACTCATGGTAATGCCCGTGTGTTAGTTATGTAATGCTAATAAAATATTTGGTATGTTAAAAAATTTCAAAATACGCATACATAAGAAATATTTAGTTTTGTATAGGTGTAAAATAAAATAACACTTTTGTCAAAATAAATTAGTAGCATTAATTAATCTAAACTATGAAAATTAATAACAAAAAGCAAATAATAAAAATTAATTATTTTTCTTGTTATTAGAGTGAAAACTTGTCTCACATTCCCTTTGAGAAAACACTCTAGCTAAACATGGTTAATAAATAGTTGTGTTTTGCGTTTCAAAAACTTTTGTACAGGATGAACTTGCTAAAACTTTACCTGTTTTTCATTTTTCATCACTGTATGAACAATTACAAATTTTTAGCTAAATTTCTAGATTGATAATAAATAATCAGACCTATATTGCAACAATGATAGATTCTTAAATTCTTCAAACTTATTATATATATATATATATATATTCTTTACACTCTATACTACTTATTTTCATTGTCTTATTCCACAATTTCTTTTAGGTATTTCCGGAATTCGCTGCAGCCCATTCGAACTTGGCCTCGGTCCTCCAACAACAAGGAAAATTAAACGAAGCATTGATGCATTACAAGGAAGCAATAAGGATCCAGCCTACCTTCGCAGATGCGTATTCAAATATGGGAAATACCCTGAAGGAAATGCAAGACATTCAGGGAGCCCTTCAATGTTACACAAGGGCGATTCAGATCAACCCTGCATTTGCTGACGCCCACAGCAACCTTGCATCAATTCATAAAGTGAGTCTTAACAGTTATTTGACAATGTCATTTGTTTTTTAAATTTGTATTCAATGATATAACCTTAATAAGGAAAGGAATTATTATTTTCTGCTTGTACACTTCTCAGGTGTGATCAAAGTCTAATAGTACCAAAAATTTGACCAAATTCTCATAATTGAGTAGGGTGATTGTTAAATATATTCTATAAATATTAATGTTACTTACAGAAAATAAACATTTATTTTTTCATTTATTGACAAATAAAAAGTAATTATTATTATTATTATTATTTAACTTTGAATCATTTAAAGGCTAATGTAAATTTTCTTAATAATTAGCAAAGTAAATATTGATATTGAACTGACAAAATATAAACACTAATTTTTTTTCAAGAAAAAATGATTGGATTTGAAAATATTTCTTTTTATATTCCAAATTATTAAAGTATTGATTAATATTTTAAATTAGTCAGTGTAAGTAAAAAAAAATGGATTGCCAAACACGGTTAATTAAGCACTTTAACATGAAGTTTCACTGTATATAATGTTTATTTATTTATTTTTTTTGTTAATATTCTAACTTATCAAAGTCTTAATTAATATTTTTAATTAGACCTGAATAAATAAATTGCTAAACATGGTTAATTAAACACTTTAAAGATTTTATTTGTTTGTAATGTTTATTTGTTTAGTATTGTGACAATATCTATTAAAAAAAGTAATGTAATCAAATAATGAAAATGTATTATTACCAATCTAGTTTGATTTATTTAAATAAAAAATCCATTGTTTAGACTTTAATGTTGTTATATTTTGAATTCTAACTAATTAGAAGTCCTCAATAAGTAGAATGTATATTATCATATGAGGTTTTAGAAAGTTGTTTTGTTTACCTTTTTTTCGATAACTCACTGCCGAAGGTTCGCCAAATCAGTATTTTCTTAGGGCGGTTATCTCTGTTTTGATAATTATTATCAATCATTTGTCTGCTGCTTTCAACCGTAATCATATTTCCTGGGAAGACTAATTTTGAAACATGATAAATGATTCACTTTCCTTTACATTCGGTTAGTTAGGTGGGGTGTTCCCCTGATCAGTCACATTTTCCTTAGAAATAATTGCTCATACACTCCTTGAAATATTTTCAGAGGTAGTATTATACTACTACTGGTTAGTAATATTATTATTGGTTATCAGCTCCATTCTTTCGAACTGAAGGTGAAACGGTTTCCTATTACGAAATGCTCTGGGTATTTGTTTGAATATTGTCTAGGAAAAACACTTATTTGGAAATTTAATGATTTTTTTTGAAAAAGTTCAAGGTTTCACTGACCTCTTAAACATTGCAATTGGAAGGTTATAGAAGATTGTCTTTATTGATTTTAAGTTGATGCTTTGTTCCAGAATAGATTACTTGAGTACATCATAGCACATATTGGTTGATATATTTCATTTGTCATATTAGCACTGGTTGGTTGTTTTTTCAGTAGCATAGTTTTAAATAAAAAAATATCTTTATCTTAATTATTTGTTTTTTTTTTTTAAAGAAGGACTACCTCTGAGCGTGTTAAAACATAAAATGAATTAAAACTCTCCAGGTTTTAAAAAAATTGTTAAGTAAACCAATTTTTCGGCTTTGATAATGAATTGCTGTAAAGCATTTTTTATGATTAGTAGACTGCAAATTTCGTTTGTCTAGAGTTATAAGGGTTGTAAATCTTTCTGATAAAACAATAAATACAAATAACCCCATTCTTTATTTCCGTCTTATTTTATGAATTGTTAATTAGTTCATATTATTAAGCATTAACTAAATTAGTTTTCATATTTTAAAATAAAAATAATGAAAGATTACTACTCTCCTAAATAAACAAAAGGTGGTTGCATTATCATTGGAAATATGAGTTCCCTTGTATCTGATAATGGCTCATCATGGCTTATCAGATTTTTCTCCTGGCATTAAGCAGCTGGAATCAGTAGCAGCTAAGCTGTCATTCTGTTCAGTTCAACCATTTAACAAGCCACCTGTAAGTCTTACTGTCATGAATAAATATGTCGCTATTTTTCATCATGATGACGAGGGTAAAGTCACCGAGGTAGACTTCCAACCAAGGAATAAACCTTATCTTCATTTACATCCTACGTTCTCTTCATTAAAATTCTTTGAACCACTAACCAGAAAAAAATATCACATAGAACTTTTTGAACCTATAGTTTTAAATCATCTCCACTCAGATTTCGCCATTTCATGTGCTGAAACTGCCATGGTAGATAACATATTTCCATTCTTTGTCATTATTTGTCTTATTAAAATTATTTGCCTATTGATTATATTGAATTGAATTGATTAGGATGAATTGTCTCTTTGTCATTTTACTTTAGTCACTAGTTATTTAATAATAAAGCATTGTTCTCAATCATTACTAGACCTTATTGATTGATATCAATTAGTTAAAGTTTAATGATTAATTTGTACTGTATCATGAATAAGCTTCCTATTAGTAAACCAATCTACTTTCTCTTAAATTATAAAATGTTTTATCTTAAAATAAGTAATCACATCTTGAAACTTTATGATTTCTTTATAGGATTCTGGTAACATTCCTGAGGCGATCCAGTCGTACAGAACTGCCTTAAAGCTGAAGCCTGATTTTCCTGATGCGTATTGCAACCTGGCTCATTGCCTCCAGATTGTGTGTGATTGGACAGATTATGAAGCAAGGATGAAGAAGCTAGTTTCAATTGTTGCTGAGCAGTTAGAAAAGAACAGGCTCCCATCTGTTCATCCCCACCACTCCATGCTCTATCCCCTCTCACATGAGTTCAGAAAGGCTATTGCTGCTCGTCATGCTAATCTCTGCCTTGAAAAGGTAAGTTTTTTTTACAAATAAAATATATATTTTCAAAATGTGACAAATTTTCCAATCTTGAGAATTTTAAGCTTTAATAATTTTTATGTTTTATCATAAACAATTGTTTTTATATCTTCAGTACTCCGTCTGATTCGGCTCAGTAAAATTTAACATTTTGAAGGGAGAGAGAAGAAAGAAAAGAAACGTTTGATGGTAGGACAACTGAAATTGAAATACAAAATTTATTTACCAAACATTTACATCAAGTGTATACAAAAAGTGTAAATAAAATGTGAATTAAGGTGTTTCCTCCAATTCGAAAGACCATGACCTAGCAAATCCGCCAATCCACTACCTTCAATGCCATATTCATCGTCCTGCACTTATTGAAATAGAATGAAAATATTTATTGGTTGAATATCCCATGGTAAAACGTCAAAAAGTCCTAATATAATATAATATTATAATGTATAATATAGTAATGAATTGATGCCATGGAGGAGGTAGATTAGTGGATTTGTTTGGCCCTGGTTCTTCAAACCGCAGGAAACATCTTTAATTCACATTTTGTTCACTCTTTTATTCACTCAATTTACACTTTTTGTATAGACTTGATATAAATGTTTGTTAAATGATTTTTATTTTTATTTCAAAAATCTGGTTGTGAACAGTGAATACTCCTCTCCCACCTAACTCTTCCCCCTCCTTCTCCACCTCTCCTTACTTCAAAATGTTAAATTGAATAAATGTCTTAACAGGTTATTGAAGAAATGAAGACAATCCCATATGATAGAACATAGAAATTGTTATAGATTACAATTTTCAAGTCTGGAAAAGTTACCAAATTTTTAAAACTTGTAGTTTGAAGCCTATTAAGTTAACTGATCCTCTTCTGGTCTCAATTTGTAGGAAATTTAATCTATTTTAGAAATGAACTGAGTGCTTTTTGTCTAAAACGTTCTTATCATTGTCTAAATGAGGAAAAACAAAAAAAGTGAGAAAATAAAGCAGTTTTTGGGATATTCAAAAGTGATCCGGGGTGCTGCCGAGATTGAAAATTTGAATTTTGCATTTTAGTCACATCCCATACAAGAAAGAAGATAAAAGTAACCTACAACTAATTGATGCAACTTACGATGCACTAGATTACTGGACTATTCCATTTGTTTCCATAAATTCTAATCCAGTGTCTGAGAAGATTTTTTATCAATTATGCTAAGAAGCTTTTAAATCCACAGAGTAGTATCCCTAAGGATTTATGACTTAGCTGATTTATTTAAAATGTATAAGTTAACTTTTTTCTCCCAAAGGTGGAGAATTTTATTTTATGACTCAAGTTAACCACTCATTCATTAGGGATTGACCTCTCACTCAAAATTAAAGAATAATAATTATAAAGGTAAGATAACAGACATTAGCTTCCACACACTGCTTTAATTTTGAATTAATCAAATTCAAATTCTTAAATTTACGTTGATAGAATATTGTTAAAATATACTAGGATAGAATTAGTGATTTGTCAAAAGTCAGGCCACTATTGTCTAAGTTTCTACCGTCATTCTCATGACTTATTATTTGTTCAAATTTTGGTTGTAAACCAATAAACTAATCTTTTAGTTTTCTGATATAATTTAATGGTTTTATTAATGATTGATATATTTTCAGATTCACGTTTTACACAAACCTGGCTACAAATATCCAAAGGATTTATATGCAGGACGGCTGCGAATTGGATATGTCTCCTCTGATTTTGGTAATCATCCCACTTCGCATTTGATGCAATCAATACCAGGCCTCCACAGGAGAATAGAAGTTGAGATTTTCTGTTACGCTCTGTCACCAGACGATGGCACAACCTTCAGAGCTAAAATTTGTAGAGAATCTGAACATTTTATTGATTTGTCTCAGGTAAATATTCAACTCATTATTCTTACCAAAAATATGTATAGTAATAATAAGTATGTTTTCAGTTATTACATTTGTTTATTTTGTCCATTTGTAGAAAGTATATTAAATAGTTGATTGTCTACAGAACATTGATAGGGAGGGAGAGTAGTTAGAATTCTAGAATCGATTTAGTAGGTCGTGTCTTTGTCAAGAACTATTAATCAATTTTTTAAAAACAAAATAATTTCTTGAAATTAAAAAGTTGTGACTATGTGGCATTGTTCAATAATTTATTTAGTTGTGTTTGATGAAAAGCTAGTTTTTTTATTGACATTAATATGAATAAAGTTAATGAGACTAATAAAATATAACAAAAGCTCATAAATACGTTAGCTGGACCTAGGGGAAGCAAAGAGCCTTAAGTGGTAGAATTTAGAAAATATAAATTTTTATTTTTAGGTTAAATAAAAAATATTTGTTTGTAATCTTCCATTGTTTTGATTTCAATTCAGTCAATAAAATGAGTTCATGCTACAAAATTATGGATATTTATTTATAAAAGTATTAACTAAAATACTGTTATAAAACTGTGTTGACAATTAATGGAGAGGAGAAAGATGAACAAAAAGGGGGCCAAATCAATTTTGTTTCCTGCCCTCCCTCCCCCACAAAATTTTAGTTCTGCCCTTGTGAAGTATCTGTCTGATTTTTCCAATGTATAACTACTTTTTTAATTCTTCATTACATTTGTTCAGAGTATAACTTTTATCGAACATTCAAGAAGTTAGAAAATTGTCTAAGAAAAACAAAAAAAAATCCATAAACTTGAATAGTGGAAGATAGTGGAGCTGAAAGAACTTAATTTTCGTTTTAAATCTTGAAGGTTTAAATAGTTTTTTTTGGATTGTGGAGACGTTAAAAATTGATAAGTTTTTCCATGCATTCATTTATTAAAATGTGACATAAATATGAATATCTAAAGTTCTATCCATAGATGTTTTTAGCTTGAAAATTTATGAGTTGAATCGTCTTAATATTCAAATCATCATTTCCCTCTTTTCACCATTTAATTGTTTAATGATATTGTTTTAACTCCATTATCATTTTATTTCAGGTACCATGCAATGGCAAAGCAGCTGACCGAATCAATTCTGATGGTATTCATATTCTAGTTAACATGAACGGTTACACTAAAGGTGCAAGAAATGAAATTTTTGCCTTGAGGCCTGCACCTATTCAAGTACGTAATCATTCTTATTTATTTAATTTTCAAAATTATATAAGTGATTATTGGTATATGGTTATAATTTACATATTTTTTACAGGTAATGTGGCTTGGATATCCCGGAACAAGTGGTGCATCGTTTATGGATTACTTGATCACTGATGCAGTAACCTCACCCGTAGAATTGGCCTCTCAATATTCAGAAAAATTGGCTTTTATGCCCCATACGTACTTTATCGGTGATCATAAACAGATGTTCCCTCACCTCAAAGAGAGGTTAATTTTAGCTGATAAGGTGATTGAATATTTTTCATTCTTATTTAGAAAAAAGTATATATGTTTTATTTATCAATATATATATATATCAAACTAAAAGAATTAGGTATGTTTCTATGTCAGTATCTGCAATGGTCTACCTGTCATTAAGATTTTATCATAGATATATTACTGTTAACTCTGTTGCTATAGCAAACAGTTGTTGAGTATAATCTGGAAAAAAAAATTATTGCACTTAGTTAAAAAATTAATCCTTTATGTTATGTTATATCAGACATCGAAATCAGAGTTGGCAGATAATGTGGCGGTGCTAAACGCTACTGACCTCTCCCCAATGATTGAAAATACTGAAGTCAAAGAAATCAGGGAACTTGTCGCTCCAGTTACTGATACAAAGACAAGCAGACCTGTCGAGATTTCTCTTAAAGTTGCCCAGCTACCTACTACGACACCAATAGAGGTAACTATCATTTGATTGTTTATAAACGAATCTATATAATGGAAACAAATGTATATATTAACACACTATTTATTAGTAAGTACATGCTGCTAGAGATAAATTAAGGGGATTCGATTATTAAGATCAATTGTTTAACTTTTTTTTTCAGTTATTAGAATTTATGAAAAATGTATTGACCTCTCTGTTATGAATTAAATGGAATATATAAATAAACTTTTACATCTGATCAATCACATTTTATACTAAATAATGTTAAGCTCTGATTATTTAAAAATATGTTTTATTTTTGCTGTTAAAAATTCCAAATCCAATTTTTTTAATACAACCATATCTGTTGTTATTATAGTTGTGTTATATTTTATTCCCTTATTACAGTTGTTATATTTCTTAACCAGTCGAATCACGGAATACGCCGAGGAAATTTTCGGAGACTATCAATGCGGATTTAGACGGAATCGTTCGACTATTGATCAAATATTTTCTTTACGGCAAATATTAGAGAAAAAATTGGAGTACAACGGTATTGTTCACCAGCTGTATATAGATTTTAAAAAGGCTTACGATTCTATTGACCGCCAGAAACTGTATAATATTCTAATCGAGCAGGGGATTCCTAAAAAATTAGTAAATCTAGTCAGGATGTGCTTGACGGAGACACTCAATAAAGTTAGAATTGGTAATAATCTGTCCGAAAAATTTGAGGTTCGTTCGGGTTTAAAACAGGGGGATTCCCTTTCGCCTGTCCTGTTCAATTTGGCATTAGAACATGACATTAGGGAGGTAATGCGTACCGAGAAAGGATTGGATCTGGTTGGGGCAACATCCGTGCTGGGCTATGCTGATGATCTGGTACTGTTAAGCGAAGACGTTGAAACTATAAAACTGAATACGATAACGTTAATGAAAGCCGGGAAAGAACTAGGACTCGAAATAAACGTGGATAAAACAAAATATTTGGTTAGCTGCAAAAATGGCGATACTACTGGTAATATCGATATAGATGGTAATATGTTTGAATAGATAGATAAATTTAGGTATCTAGGGTCTACGACAACTAGAAAGAACGAAATTGAAGAAGAGATTAAGGTTAGACTGAAGGCAGGAAATGCTTGTTATCTTTCTGTGACAAAACTACTTAGCTCGTGCATCTTGTCCCGGAACTTAAAAATTAGAATCTATAAAACAATTATCTTGCCTACAGTTAGTTCTTTATGGATGCGAAACTTGGCCGCTTACATTAAGGGATGAGCAGTGTCTTAAGGCTTTTTAAAATAAAGGATTGCGTAGAATATTCGGACCAAAGAAGGATGAGTTAACCGGAGAGTTCAGACGGTTACACATCGCCGAATCGCGTGAACTGTATCTGGGTAATATAATTGAGGTAATTTCATCGCGGCAAATCAAATGGGCTTGTAAAGTTGTTGGACTTAGTAATGAGAGAATTCCTAAAAGGTTAATATTTGCTGTGCCGAATGGTAAGCGTCCGAGAGGTAGACCGAAGCGAAGGTGGGAAGATTGCATTAAAGCCGATCTGAGGGGACTGGGTTTGGACGGTGAACGGTGGAGGGAGAGGGAGGTGTGTAATAAGCGATTGGTGGTGTCGGCATCGAACCTTCGGGTTCGCTAAGCCTTTTATTATTATTATTTATTATTTTATATTTTATTACTTTAGGTACCAATCTCTTTCAGGTTTTATTTAGCAATAGAAGGGCAATCTCACTGACAATAAAATATTAGTAAGATATCTAACTAATATAGAATATACTATAATAGTGTTATACATAATATCACAATTTTTTACATGTTCTACAATCACCGTGAGAGTTATGTTTTTTTTAGTTTCTGTAGCTTTTTTATCTTTTGAAACTTAATTTTCTTGTAAAAATATTATTATTTCACGGCGCTGCAAACCGGTTACAGGTCTTGGTCTCCTTCAACTGTTTCTTCCAATTGTCATTGACTTGTGATGCCATCCAGTTCCTAATTCCCAGCATGTTGAGGGCGTCTCCTGCCACACCATCTGACCATCTCAGCTTTGGTCTCCATCTGCCATTCTGGCAACGTGCCCTGCATATCTTAAATGCCTCAAATTCATTGCTTTCACAATGTCAGCTTCCTCGAAAGCATTGTCCTGATCCGTACGCCACCTCCACTCTCCAACTTTCATACTCCCAAAAACTCGGTGGAGAACATTTCTTTCAAAAATAAGAAGTTCCTTTTCAGTGGCCTTCGAAGTTGTCCAGCACTTCAATCCATAAAGAAACACGGAATGCAGCCGTGTCATTATAGAGGTGAAGCTTAGTCTCTCTGGAAAGTATCCACCTGCATAGCTGCTTTCTTAACCTAAAGTAGCATTTTGGCTATTATGGTCTTTCTTCTTATCTCAATATTGGGGTGATTATTCTGAGTGATCACAGATCCCAGATAAGTAAAATTTGAGATCTTCTTAAATTTATGAAGCCCAATAGTGACTGTCTCGTCTGGCATGGGAATTTTTTATGTTACCATATATTTTGTTTTGAATTCATATTAAGCAGGATCCATCAATGCCTGAAAAGCATCAGTCAGGGAATGTCCGACAATGTCAATCAGCGTAGACCAGTTGGACAAACCTGGTATATATGTTTCCTTGTTCACATAGACCAGCGTCTCCTACAGCCTTTTAAGTGATAGATTAAACAACATGGAGGATGGCGCATCCCTGTGTCAGAGTCTTTTACCTGCACGAAATTCTTCTGATCTGTCCCCATTTACTCTAACCATACATCTTGTATAGGTCAGATAATTGACTTATTTTAGCCAAAGGGCATCACCTCATCTGTTCATATCACATGAAGGAGTTACTGTAGTGCTTTGGTAAGCTCATTCCCACCACATTTTATAAGTGCAGCAGGGATTGCATTAAGACCAGGGGTCTTATTATTTTTGAGTTTGCTGATGGTACCTCATCTTCATCTCTTGTTCCCCCATCTGTATTCTTCCTCTTGATTTATTACTTCATCACAGGTGTCTTCTTCACTTGATTTGAGTACATTATTGAACTTATTGTTGCCTTCGTCAAGAACATCAGACATGTTGGTCATCTTCTTTATTCTTATAGGATTTTAATGTATTAATTTTTCCCTTGTAGACCAATCTGAAGAAATTTCTACTTTCTTTGTTATGATATGACAGTTACTAAATAGGCAGTTACGGTTTCTAGCTCTTCCCTACCTTTCCTTCTATCCTTTCTTTTTGTGATGTAACCGTTTCTCTTCTTTCTTTCTTAGTCAGTGTTTATCAACAGACCTCCTTGTGGTTGTCCTCATCATTGCTTCGTACACATCATTCTTCCTGTTCGTGGTTGCTCTGCATTCCTCATCGAATTCTCAATGTCCTGGTCAGGATCGTAGCTTCCCAGGCATACTTTAGCGTCTAAATACTTCAGTGTTGTTAAGCAGAGTTTGTACATCCTTTAGCTTTCAAAGATTGATATTTTTAGGTTTCTCGACAGCTTTCAAATTTCTTACTGAACAAATTCTCGCTGTCATATGTGCTATGCTTAGAAAGTGGTCCAAATCTACATTTGCTCCTCTGAATGTAACATTTCGTAAATTGCTTCTATGGAATCTTCCTATTAGAATATGGTCAATCTGGTGGACACCTGTGACCGGTAGGGTGATGTCCATGTGCCCTTATGGTTATTCTTGTGTGGATATAGAGTAATCCCTATAACAAGGTTTCTGGGGTCTGTGAAATCAATGAGCTTTTGTCCATTAAAGTCTCCAGGAATTACTTTCATTTCATACCTAGGACATGCATCCAGATTCGCTTCCAAAAGTTCATAAAAGGCATCCTTATCTTCTTCACTAGACACTTCTATGGGGCATGTATACTTGAAAGGCTTTAGTTGTAAAACTTTCCACGCATTCTTATAAGGCAGATCCTAGATTCTTGGGCTCACTGGTTTAAATCCTATTGTCATCTGCCTGTACTTTCCCTTTACATCAAATCCTGTACCTGTCAAATTCATGCAGACTGCTGTAGTAGATGGAGTGGTGTTTTTTTTCAAGAATCCCCTTGACCAGCCCATCTGAACTCCTGAATAGTGCCCATGTCAATCTTGTACTCATCAAGTTGATCTAAGAGCAGTTTTAATGCTTCTGTTCTATACAAAGATAATGCATTCTAAAATATAAAGTTAAGAATCCTATGAGGGTTGCTGGGTCATTTTCCTTCAATACTGTTCACATCTGGGGCTGTTATGGGTTTCACGATAATTTGTATTTCGGGTAGCGAGGCTAACATCTCTATGCATGTAGACCTGTATCTCCATGCGGAGCAGCTTCCTAGGAAAGGGGCCATAAGGTGTATTCTATATGTGATCTTGTGTCTGAGCTGTGATTATGTAGTGTGTACTGTATGTGTGTTAGTGTACTGTTTTCCCAAGCTTGAGGGCCAGTGGCTGACTGTGGTACGAAAACCAGGTGGTAGGGTCGATACATTCCTTCGCCATAATGTAAAAATATAGATATATTTATAAAATTAATTTTAGGAGCTTATAGTTCTCACTATTTATGTTTACTATTATTTGCAGACAATGATTGCATCTGGCCAAATCCAGACATCATTGAATGGAGTAGTAGTACAAAATGGCTTAGCGACAAATCAGACTAATAATAAAGCAGCGACTGGCGAAGAGGTACCACAATCAATTGTCATCACCACCAGGCAGCAATATGGTCTTCCTGATGATGCTGTGGTTTATTGCAACTTCAACCAGTTGTACAAAATTGATCCACACACTCTTCAGATGTGGGTTAATGTAAGTATCACTGTTGATTGAGTAGTCAGTATTAGTAGTAGTTATTACTATTCGTTGAGTAGTTATTGGTTAGTTATTAATCTATATTGTGTTTTATCTAAAACTTTACTTTTTCTCTAAATTATAAATGTTTTATTGTAACATAAAGTTTAAAAAAAAATTAAAGTAATGATAATGGTATTGATCTATTACCACCTTCACTTTACTTCCACCTGTTATATTCTTGCCAATTCATTTAATCATTTTAAGTATTGATAATAAAAGTGAAATGGTAATTGGATTACCTGACTTTTGGTGCTGTTATAAGTAATTAGAAGTTAATCCTTCAAAAAAACTACAATAACAAGTTGGTGATTCCAGGTCCAAGTTTAATTAAACCAAAACATGATCACATTTACACTTTATCATGTATAACTTCTACTTTTCAAAGCTTTTTCATGTTGTATTTGAAGTCAGATGTTAAATTAACTATCAAATATTAACTTTTGTTTTATTTGCAGATCCTCAAGGCTGTACCTCAGAGTGTGATGTGGCTGTTGAGGTTTCCCTCTGTTGGTGAGCCCCATTTACAGGCTGCGGCTTCTGCTCTTGGTCTCCCTCCCGGTAGGATCATCTTTTCTAATGTAGCCGCCAAAGAGGAACATGTGCGACGAGGCCAGCTGGCCGACGTCTGCTTGGATACCCCACTCTGCAATGGCCACACCACTTCTATGGATGTTCTGTGGACTGGCACTCCTGTGGTCACTCTTCCTGGTGAGAAATGAATCTTTATTCTTCAATTAGAAATCTAGCAATCTTTTTTTTTAATGCCTGTTTATATTACTATAAATAAAAAACTCTATCTAACTGTGATCATTGAGATTCTCTGTTATTAACTTACAGAAATATGTTATTTAATGCTATTTATGATCTTTAGGTGAGACTCTTGCTTCTCGAGTAGCAGCATCTCAGCTGGCTACTCTTGGTTGTCATGAACTGATTGCTAGGACAAGGCAGGAATATCAAGAAATTGCTATCAGATTGGGAACAGATCGTGAATAGTAAGTACATAGATTTCGTAAAAGCCATTCTATATTACCTAATAGTAAATCAGTAATTGAAGATTTTTATACTAGATAGATATTAAGACTAATGATTGTGTAAAATTATCTCTTACATTTAAGCAAGTTCAGAGGTTATAATTGTTACATTAAATATTATTATTTTTGTAGCTAAAAAAGTGTTTATCTTGTTGCAGCTTGAAGGCAATGCGCGCTGAGGTATGGAGAGCTAGATCAGAAAGTCCTCTTTTCAGTTGCAGGATGTACGCTGAAGGTCTTGAGAAGTTGTACAAAATAATGTGGAATCGACATGCCTCTGGCGAGAAGCCTGCACACATCTCTGTCTCTCAGGCTAGTCAGTAGATGCACAATGTTATTTCGTTTTATTTATAAAAAGCACAGCATCGCTGAATTTTTTATGAATTTAAATTTGTATTTCCCTGTTTCAACTCTTCATCTTCCTGTTATTGTGAAGCAATAATTGACTGATTTCTATATAAATGCTCGTGTTAGTATTTGTCCAATTTAATATATTGAGATAGGAGTATTTATTTTATTGAAATATTGGAATTTCTTTTTCTTCTTTATTAATTTTGTCAAATGTGATCTACTGTTTGTCCTGCACAAGTACAAGGAACATTCCTTTTGAAGTGAATATTGAGAAAGTATTTTGTAAAAATTTTTGCATGCATGAAGTTAGATGATCGATGATTATCAATACCAGTGCTGTGTTATGAATTTATTTTATTTTATTTTTTTAATGTTTTAACTGACACAAATTGATTAAAAACATAGTCCTGCTCAAGAAATCAAATTAGCAGTTACCATTATGCCATTTAATGTATTCAGATTTTTTTTTTTTTTTTACAGTTATCTTCAGTTTTTCTTTTTTAATTTAATATATTCTTACTCAAAATTTTAGTTAATTATATATTTAAGGACAAATGTATTTATCGTATGGTGATGTGCGACGAAGAACGATGTGGATAAATGAATCTTTCATTGAATTGTACATTTATTGATGCTCTAAGGGCAAGTTTATTTTGTATACTAAATACTTTTAATATAGTTATGTATATTTATAGATAGATTTAGGTATGTAATGATGTTTATGGAAAAGAGTGATGTAATAAACGCATGGGTTGATGCTGATTGGACTTGAAAAATTGAAGTATTTATATTGAGTCATTAACATTGCTCCACTGCGATATTTTGATGAAGCATTTGTGTGGATCTCAATTGAATTTGTGTAAATATTAATATTTCATTGATGGTTTTGTCTTAAAATTTGAGAGAAACTTTTCACACTAAAGTATATATTCTCTTAAATTAAAGTTTTTTTATAATCACCTACACTACCATTGAATGGACATTGATATGGTTTTTGTTAAGATCATCTTTTATTTATTGTAAAAGTTTCAGATTGAATAAATATCTGTTGAAATGTATTAAACAGTTTTAAGTATGTAATAAAAGTTAAATAAATTTTAATCTGTTTTTATTTTATTTTTTCCCTACCCCTGTCTATTCCTATGTTGATATTTTTTGTTTTGTGTAAATAAATTTTAATTGGCTACCACTGTACAAGCGTCACTCTAATTTGATCCTATGATATCCATGATCCGAGATCAGCCAAGGATAGACTTGCTCACAGTATAACCTCCCTTTATTTAGAAACCAATTTACAACTTTGGCAAACTCCATACTGGTCCTTTTCAGTTGAAATTAAAGCAAGATTAGATTTAATTACGTCTGCTTTCGATTCCCGCTCACTCTGAAGGCATATAACAAACCTTCAACGGTTCCTCTTCAGTTGAGGTTGCAACGGTTCCAAACGGTCTGGTCACCTCTGTCTCCTTTTGGATACACTCGTCCATTCACGAGTTTCTTCTTACAACGTGATCATGAGGTCTTGTATCCACTCCATTAAAGTGGAGTGACACTTGTACATAAGTACCCTTATTTATTATAATATTTCAGTATTCTTTATAAATATATCACCGACTAATAAATTAATATAGAATTAAACACAACTATGTTGTTTTTAAAATATGCTGTATGTAGGTTTATATATGCCAATTTATTTTGTAAAATAAACAAATTTATGAATACAACTAACAGAAATATATTAAACTTAAAATAAATTTTCTTATTGTTACTTCCAACTAATAAGATGTTGCACTATTCATCTTTGTTTATCATACTAAAAAAACATACCATTCACTCAATGATTTAATGATCACTGTATTTCAAAAATGGCATTGCTTCTGAAGCTGAAATTTTCAATGACAGTGGGTGTGCAAGAAGGATGGTTTTGAAAAAACTTGTCCTCTCGGTGTTGACCAAAAATTATTTCTAAACCCAAAAATTTGGTGGGCGCATCTCAAAACTTTTGCTTGCCGTTCTGCTTTGAATAGAAATTATTTTTTGGCAATATTGGGCTATTACAAACTTTTTGAAGTGCATTTTTAATGGAGCTAAAACTTAAGCCTTACAGCTAACAAATCATTAGACACTAATTTATTATATGAATTGATATTAACAAACCCTATTTATTATAGTGACAGTAAGCAATAAAAATCTTGTAACACCATCTGTTTTTGAAAAACCACATAACTCCAGTCTCTGAGTATGCCTCCAGAATATATGCCTAGAGAGATTTGAAAGTACATCTGTATTGGTTGTGCCAAAGAATGGTTTGAGTTTCCCGCGTCACTGCGAGTGGTGGGGGCAGATCTAAAAGATAACACTTAAGCCTCGAGAGCTCCTGGTTTCCTCTGCCACTTTTCATTTGGGAGCCACCCACTAGAAGTCACGACAGATGCATCATACCGGAGGGCCCTCCAGGTAACAAAAGATGTAAGCTGCCATAAAGATGGTAAATTATTTTTTGCACAATCATTATAACCTACCAACCCATTAAGATACAGTCCACTGCTTAAAATTAGAATGTTGCCTTATTGAAACTCATGAGAGTTATTTGCCATAATTAGAAAAGTTGCCTAAACATGTATATTTAACCAATAAATGATTTTGGATTGTATTTACTATTAGTTATTAAACTAAATTTTCTAGTGTAACGTTTGTAAAATGGAGCAATGAGATTTTCATTATCTAATACCTAATGATTGGTAAAAAGTTATACTAATTGCAAATGAATAATGTGATTTCACAAAGGGAAAATTCATCTAATTATTTACTAATTTAATTTTCTAAAATATTACATGAAGAACTTTCGGAATAAACCGACGATAGATAACTAATTAGTTGTTCAAAAAAAATATTGGATCTAGAGTTATTAAACTACAGTAAATTTATTTAAGGCTATAAATATACGTTTCCACATAAATGAAATATGTTTATATTTCACTTCTTTTTTACTTTCACTTACGTATAAATGAAATATTTAGTAAAGGAAAGTATTGCGATCGTGAAAATTTTCAAATCTTAGTTTTCAACTGAAATACACATTTTGAGATCCCCCTAGTCCAAATAACCAAATCCCGCAAAATGGTCTGTGTGTGTGTGTGTGTGTGTTTCTTAAGAGTCTGACTTAAAAACGAAAAGTTGTATGAAAGTGAAATTGCATATTTCAGGTTTTTATATGTTTGGGATGTTACAGCAACTTTTTTGTCAAAATTGGCTAACCAAAGGTGCCACTTTATATAATGGACTAAACATATTTTTATGATTTTATCGAAAATAGCTCGATTTTGATTAAATTGATTATGTCAGTGTAAAACTAAGCAATTTTAAATAAAATGTAGTTTTTATTCTGATTGATGTTCTCTAATAAAACTTAAATGGCTAATTTTCAATATTAGCTTCTCCTAAAGTACCTTTAATTTTTTTTATTTGAAACAATTGATCATTTCACATTAATCTCTAATATAAAAGATAGTTTAATATAAAATATGACAGAATTTGACTATTAACTAAAGGAGAAATAAGATATCGTAACGGAGAATAGCTGTAATTGAAGAACCAAAGGAATCCGAGCTCGCCCGAAAGAGTAGAACATGCTTCCATACGTAACATGAGCTTAATATAATAAGACTCCGACAATATTTTGTAAATATACATATACGGTTTTCATAAATGCTATTGTTGGTATTATTTAATATTTAATTGTATAGATTACAGCGATATAAAAATAAATACCCCAATGAAATAAAAATGAATATTTTGTTTATAATTTTTACTTTCACTTTCTCTGTCTGAAAATACTTATTTCTTCTAAGAAGAGGGTGCTAAGTGAAAGTTGTGTTATGCGCGCACCGCACCAAATTTTTCATCCAAGTACAATGAAATAATTTTTTTAACAAAGTCATTGTCTTTATTCGGTAGATTTTATATTTTTTTTCCAACTTGAACATAATTTTAAATGTTTACATTTTGTTTGAAAAATTCATTTAGGTAGTTAGGGGTGGTTAGGGTCATTGTGACATTGGGGAACAATGTCATTGTCTTTATTCGGTAAATTTTTTATTTTTTTTCCAACTTGAACATAATTTTAAATGTTTACATTTTGTTTGAAAAATTCATTTAATTTCCTTGCAATCATGTGGTTTTCATTAAATAATTTTAGTTTTCAGAAATTATTACTTATAATTTTTTCATCACTCTCCATTTACCTCATATGACTTTCTATACTAGATGTTGTTTCTAAAATTCTCATCTTTCCAATGATATATTATATGTATACCTTATTTCCGGATAATCATTTTCAACCTTAAATAAACATTTTTACTTTTTTCTCCTTTATTCAATTATCAAATTCTTTCAAAAGCTATATTTAGCCTTTTTTTTTTATAACTGCTAACAATGAGAGATAGTTAACTATTAAATAAACTAAATTACAGGTACTTTAGAGGAAAAAAAATTGAAAATTGGGCATTTAAATCCTGTTAATAGGGATAAGACCTAAATGATATTAGAGACCACTCCACATGATACACCGAGTTTAATCAAAATTGTTAGAGCTGTTTTTGAGTAAAATATGAAAAATCGGCACTTATGGTTAGTCGATTTTCAGGAAAAAGTTGCTATAACATCTTATAACATATGCATATACCTATCTTAAATATGTATTTTCAGTTTCTTACGACATTTCCTTTTTAAGCTGTACAGTTACACACACATAAACGATCCATTTTGTGGGACTTGGTTATTTGGACTCAGGGGACCTGAAAATCTGTATTTCTGTTGAAAACAAATTAAAAAATATTCACGATGACAATACTTTATGTTACTGTATATTATACATATAGATAAGTGAAAGTGAAAAACAACACAGGTTAATTATAAAACTATAGGACTTCTGGAAAAATTGTTGGAACATTATTTGAAAGATAATTAAATTCTCTGCAAAATGAAAAGCATATCTAAATTGTACCAACATTAGAATCAATAATAAATTTTGCCAGGGATATTGGCGAAGATACCTTTGTAATGTCACGAAATTTAATTGAAATGAAATGTTTTTTTAATTTATTTATTGACAATTACAACTATATTAAATAAATACAACCAGTAAATGTGCAAAAATTAGAAATAATGACATGTATAGACTTGTTGAGATACTACCCAATGGTATCTCTGCTTAAATAATTCTCGGTAGGAAGATCACGAGGAAGAGGCAAGGTTGGAAACAAGTGGATTCGGATGGGACTGCATGAAAGGATAGATATCTGGCTCGGGCTAAATCAGCTACGTACGGAACATTAAGGTCTTTATGAATGATGTTATTTGTGACAAAATATGGGCCATTAAGGATTTTGGATTGGAAATGAAATGTTAAATTTAAATGCTACTTTTATTGAAGCGTATTGGGTGGCTATTCAGCTATAACTATATTAAAACCAGAACAAGAAAGTATATTTGTGCTTAAGGTGAAGGGTAACAACTTACTCCAGAGATTATTGAGATTGTAAAAACAACTTAACCATTCAAATTGTTTTTATTTCTTTTGAAAAAAAAAAATAATTTAGATAAAATTTACTGATGGTGTTAAGTGGGACTGTTCCCTGTTAAATTTAAATTATGTAAATTTTAACCAAATCAGCTGATGATGACCTGACTTCTTGGAATTAAAAACAAATTTAGAGTGGTAAAATTGTTTTTTCGGTCTCAGAAAAACTTAACAAAACAAAGTTTTTTTTAATACTTGGACTAAAAGATGGAATTAAAAATAGAATAACATTTTATAAAACAAGATTAAATGATTTTGAAATTGTTTAAATTTAAGTTTAAAATAATCAAATTCTCTAAATTAAGTAAAATAAAATTTATAAAACCAAACATATACATTATTTAAAATCAGTAGGATGTTGATTAAAATAGGTTCATATACCTCTAAGAAAAATACACATTGGGATCCCTAGCCTATTCTCGGCCTGAGGAGTTTGATTTGAGGCCACCATAAAATAAAATAAATAAATAAACTGTATTTTTTTTTAATTTAAACAAAAATGTTAAAAACAATATGTAC